GCTTCTCCTCCCGGCGCAGCTCCTCCCTCTTCCCGAAAACATTTCTTTGCTAACCTGCTTTCCAGCTCTGCCGTGTTTCTCTTCTGCTGCAGGGAAACGGAGTTTGTGGGACTAAAAAAAGTTCAGTCAGACCTTCCAACTCCTTGTGAGATCTTTTTTTCCCGCAAGAAGTTGGAAGGTCTGACTGAACTTTTTTTAGTTCCACAAACGCCATTGAAAAAAGGTGCCGAAACGCCACCCCTTTTTCAGAAAATGGTATGGCCACTGTTTGGAAGCCCAGCGCAACCAAGACGAGCGCTTTCCACACCGATAGGCAAAAAAAAAAAGGTCCAACAGGCCTTTGTTGTTTTCTTGCCGAAACAACAGCTCGCAGCAGTATCCAGTGGTACAAGGTCTAGCTCAACTTTACAGACAGGGCAACCCGAAGCAATTTTGTGCTAAAATAATTGGAAGGCTGACTTGCTGGCCAGGCAGACGTTGGGTTACAGCATCGCTTTCCGCCTTCATTCACGCACTCTCACGGAGATCCCCCGGCCTTCCGCCCACCCTGACTTCGGGCGTGCGGATGCGGTTGTTACAGCCCAGCCCTCAGCATCAGCTGCCCTTTGATCAGGAGGGAAAGCCACGAAGAAGCGCCCTGCCGGGAGCATTAAATCAACCCAGCATCAGGCGGAGACAGGGCCGTGTGCCTCGCTGCGTCGCCTCCCTTTGAATCATCCACAGAGACCCCGCTTCCCTGGCTCCCCTTCCCGGGTCCTCCCAGCCCCGGCGGTTCTACCTTTCCCAGTTTCACTCTCTCCGGCGACCTTGCTACTCCTCCACCACCCAGCCCGGATCCGCCCAGCTCTTGCAGCTGCTCCGACTCCCAGTGCAGGGAGAGCAAGAGCGCAAGAGCGCTGGTGCACATGGAGAGGGGGAGGGCAGTAGCCCGGCCCCGCCTCCCTCTGGGGTGATGGCGCGCGTGCCTACAGGGACGGCTCTGTGTGCCGCCTGTGGCACGCGTGCCATAGGTTCGCCACCACGGTCCTAGACCATCTACAGAGATACTACAGTACCTAGCAGTGCTCAGGCTGCCACAAGTAGATCTTGGTGAGACAAAGTGTGCATTACCAAGTTGATGGAGGAGGTCAGCATCCTTCCCTATCTTTCTCCCCAAGCAGAAAGCTTTTGGCTAACATGATGAAAAGAAGCTATCTTCAGGCATGCACTGTTTGATAAATCAGAGCAACAAATGGTATTGAAATAGTGGTCTTCATTGCCACAGAAGGAAAAATGGGAAGGAAAACATAACATAGCACTGTCAAGACACAACCTTCCACTCGTCATGAATATAAAAATAATTATAACATCTGGAAAGGAGTATCACACATGCACACCTTGGAATATTTGGGAGGATTAAACCTGAACAAATGCAGGAATCCTTAAAACAAAACCTGGCAAAGTTTCCATATGTGCAGCTAAAAATATGTCACAGCCTTACATTCTACACAACTACCCCCTCCCCAATGCCTTTGCTCTCCCATACACAGCTTAGAAATCCCATGGTGCCGATTAGTGAAAACAGCATCAAGCCCTATCTTTTCCCTTGTTTCATTATCCCTGTTAGCAACTTTCCAAAGGAAAGGAGAGTTGGTAAGAGTTAAAAAAAATACTGTTAAATAATAGATCTGTAATAAAATTATATACTTTTCTTTAAATCCATTTCTTTTAAAACCTAAAGTCACTCTATGTTTCTATTTTTTCCCCTTTTTTTGGCTGGTGAAGTAACAGCAAAAAATTCTCTCCTTTTTCTTTTACTTTGTTTTTTCTTTATGAATGGACAAACTTTCATCAAAACAGTTTGTACAAGTGATACAAGAAATCAGATTATTTACAACAAATGAGTCTTTCAAACAATGACAGAATGGAGAAGGAGAGAGAAAAATACAAAAAAGGAGAATGTCAAGAAAGCATTGGTCATGAAACAGTCAACATATGCAAAACCTGTGGTACAAAGGGAATTTTATGACACATAGTGTGATTCAACTAAGGAGATCCATGCTTGTAAATAGGTTTGCAAACATATATTGTATATATCGCTTGACAGAAGCCATAGAACAAAATTCAGATGTGCAAATCAAAGCACAGCTGAGTGATGATGCAGTCACACAGAACTGCATTGTGTTGAAAGTGTGTTAATGCTCATCCACAATGATCCCCAGGCCAGTGAGATATTCATGATTTGTTTGACACATGCCTGGTGCAGGATCAGGGCCAAAACGCATTGAGGCTGAGGATAACATGTGATTCCTTTCTGGATTTATATAGGATAATTGTTAACTAGGATGGTAAATGAAAAAGGGATAGGACTGAGGAGGAATAGTGGAAAAATGAACTCATAGAGAAATTAAGGCATTAACAAAAATGACTTACAGGCACACTTTTCCCCCTTTCTCCTCACCTTGCAGGCCTTTTCTAGAGCTTACTCCAGAACAATACAAATTGAGGAAGAGTTTAGAGCAGGGGTCTTCAAACTTGGCCCTTTTATGACTTGTGCACTTCAACTCCCAGAATTCCTCAGCCAGGCACACTGGCTGAGGAATTCTGGGAGTTGAAGTCCACAAGTCATAAAAGGGCCAAGTTTGAAGACCCCTGGTTTAGAGCAAAGGTAGTATTAAATCCACAAATTTGTGAATCTATTTTGGGGGTGGGGAACAAAATGAAAACATTATAAATTGCAAAGTCAGGGGAAGAGTATTTGAAAATTCAGGGGGGGGGGGATTTTCAACCCCAACTCAATGTTCAAATAACCCAGGAGAAATGCCATTTCGGGATCAGATTCAGGAGGAGGTGAAGTGGGCAAGTCTGGCTCAATGCAACAGGCCATATGGATGGCCTGCCTAGGATAGCAGAACTCCTGGGGCTCCAGGCTCCATAGGAAAGTTCTCCTGCCCTAGACTCTAAAATGCAAAGGACAACTGTGGGTCTCTTTGTTCAGATTGCAATCCATTTATCTCTCATTCCAAACAAATGAATGGGCAAAACCTATATATTCACTGGTATGGAGGAGGGAAACGGAGATGGAATTGAATTACAAGAGTTGGAGATGGCCATTTAGGTAATTAAATCCAACCCCTTGCTCAATATGGGCATCCAGACTAAAGTATCCTTGACAGATGACTATTTAGCTGGAATGCTGGAAATAAATATTGAGGAAGAATACATCTCTTTGCCCCTCCTACTATATGTCTGTATGGGAGACAAAGAGAGAAACTATTTTTCTCCTTAAGTAGCAAAATGGCTTTTTCAGTCCTAAGAAGGGAACAGGTTTAGTGTCCAATGGAGGGATGAGGGGGAGGGAATGATATCTAAGAAAGGAATAATGGAGATGTCCATGTGAAACCCCCCACCAGTCCCCTCACAAATCTCCAAAAAGTCAGGAGAAAATGGTGATGCTGGTGAGAACAAATGCTAGGAGACTGACACGACCACGCACATATACAGAGACTCATTTTGTCCAGTGCAACTCTTTTTTTTCTTTTTAATAGATAAAAACAATGTTGTTTTAACAAACTCACAAATGACCAATTAAACCCATGGAGTGACAGCTACAGAAATTGAAGTCTTGGCACTTCACAACACTGGTTCAGCCTCCATTGGCTCTTCTACTGGTCTGGGAAGAAGGAAAAAGAAGGCAAAGAGATGCTGATTAATGGTCTTTCACTGGTACAGAGGTCAACAGAGCTATTGGTTGTGCTGTTGATCAAACAATGTTCAAGGGCTGTTCTAGTAGTAGTAGGGACACTACCAGTTGAAAGTCTTTGTTCTGGGTGGAGGAGAGGCCCAATGGCAGCCACTCCAACCTAGCCCCTTCCAGATGTGCTCTGACCACTAGTATATTCATCCTAGTTTCTGACAAATTAAGGACCAACAAACCACAACCTCAGTGATTTTAAGATGTATGAACTTTAACTCCCAGAATTCCCCAGCCAGCATACTGTTGTCCACACATCTTAATGTTACTGAGATTGTGAAACACTGAACTAAGGACAGTGAATTCTACTTCACAGGACTGTACAGAGAGGGGAAATCAACTCTATTAAGACATGTTTTATTTCAAGCCCTAATTTTGAGTTAGACCTTTTGGGCACCAGGGACCAGTTCTGTGGAGAGAGGTTTTTCTGCGGACTGGAGGGTGCGTGGTTTTGTGTGCTGCCTGCATCCCATGGATGGGGCTTTGCTTGTTTGTGCGGACCGGTTACTGGCATGCTGTGGACCGGTACTGGTCCACGGACTGGGGGTTGGGGACCCCTGAGTTAGACAACTCCTTTTTTCCCTGACCATATCTGTCTATGTTTTCTGGCACATCAGCAGAATCTGCCCTTTTAGTCTCTTTCTGAACTAGGACTATGTACTGTATGTCCTTAAAAGGCAGTGATGGTTTGGATCCTCCTCTTGAGAGGTGAACTTTTTTATCTTTTCATTTGACAAAACAAAGGTGATGGCACTAAGCTGCAGAAAGGCCTTTTGTTACTTTAGCTACAATAGAGCAATGACTTTTCTCAGAAAGCTAAAAGATAATAACAGATTAAACTTGCATGCTGCCTGACTCTCAATATCTGTGGGCAGCTCATAACTCATAACAATCAAACAAGTAAATTACAATAAAATCAATAAAACATAAAGATAAAATAAGGCAAGTGTGATGAGTGAAGGGTCTCACTCTCCCTTGCCAAAGGCCTGGCTGAAGAGCCAGGTCTTCTAAGCAACAGCACAGTGGGGACCACCTACAGCAGGTGCACCGGATAGCAATTCTTAGGTCAAGAGAAGTCAGAAAACATTTGGTTGATGCAAAGCAAGAAAAGACAAGCAGTGCTGTCTTCCTGATGAATCAGGGTGTGTAGATGTGATAATACCTGCACTCAAGAAACAGTGGCACACATGGTGCTGGGACAACTTGGTCAGACAGATTAGATCTCAGTCAAAACCCTCACAGACACTTGTCATCTTCCAAAACGAACCTACCGGATACCACAGTCTGCTTTTCCCTGTTCTGTGTCCACTGACAGTGATGCCATGGCACTGACTGTCTCTGCTTCTTCTGCCTCACCCTTCTGTGCCTCTAGCAAAGAGCAGCCGATAATTGCTGCAGAACTTTTCACCGAATTCCAGTGTTTGCCTGTGATAAAATTGCAAAGCGTTAGGCTAGAAATGCTAGTACTATGGTGGATTTTTGGAGCTGCTCCAGGACATCTACCTTTCTTCCTTTCTCAAACTCATCATATTGTCAATGAAACCACTAATGTAACACCTTAATTCTTTCTGATCAATGACCATAATAAAGTCTTTATATGGAACATCTGTTGGTATAATCATGCCTATAATCAGACTCTTGTTATAATCATGCTTCAGGAAATTAATTAAAATAAATGGCTAGCATTCCCAACATGTCCTGAGAAGGACTAGAAAGTTAGAATTAGCCAGTTAAGTGGAGTTTAGAGAAGAGAAATTTCAGGGGTGCTGTCTTCTAGCACCTAAATGTTGTTGGACAGGTCGCAGAAGAAACCTGGTGCATCAGAGGGCAGGACTAGGACAACAGGTAGAAAGTGCAGGCAAGAGGATTTGTGCTAAAATTTAGAAAAACATGTAAACTACTACCTCAGAAGGTAGTGGGTTTTCCTTCTCTAGTATTTTAAGCAAATACTGGAAGGCCATTTGTTTGGGCTACTGTAGCTGGTGATTCTAGAGGGCTGAACTGGGTGGCCTCTAAGGCATGTTTCAATCCTAAATTTTATGACTCTGAATCAGGAATCAAAATCCTGGTGCAACTAACCCCCCCCCCAACCCCATGTATGGTGAGATGTTGAAGTTATTTATTTTAGATCACCTGCAAATTTTGTAACATGAATTGTTTAAATAACATTAAACAAGATTATTTGTGGATGTTGCAGAACAGCCACTTGAGCTGAAATAAGTACTACTTCAACAAATCCCCCACAAATCCAATCTTTGTTTAAAAGTTTAAAGGTAGTTTTTTTAATAAACAAAAGTTAGGCTTTTGAATTGTATAATTTTTAAATTTTTAAATGTTTTAAATTTTTATAAAAGTATTTTTTCTAATTTTTGCATTAGTATATAATTTTTAATTTCCTAATTTTTAAATTTTTATATAAATTTAAACTTCTTTAAAAATTTAAATTTTTATATAAACTTTATAAGTTTCTCAAAAAAGAGAGGAAAAATAATTATTTGTTTAAATGTTTAATTACACTTTTAAAAACACATGAAAAACACACAGTCATTGAAAAAAAGGCCAACGCTGTTCTAGTTTGCAAACTATGTGCTATGTATGAATGCATACCTATGGAAGATCAAAGTTATATCTGTACCAAATGTAAAATAATTGAAACACTTGAAAAAAATTAAAGGTCTAGAACCTTTTCACAGATTGTACCACTTTTAGGACATGACAATATTTGAGTACTACCAGTGCTTAGAAAGGTGTCAAAAACTTGATGACTAAAAAAAAAAGGGGGGGGGGGATTTTGGGTTTTACTGATTAGATTGATTTGTTGTTCTAGAAATGGCTAGTTTATACTATTATGGAAAAGTAAAAAGTTGAGGTTCGATGTTAATGCTTCCTTCTACTGCAACAGGGGAAGTCAGAAATCAATGCCGGATGGCGGCGCAGGCTGCCCACAGCACTGGGCAGTGGAGGGCAAGTGCCCAGCCCGGCCCTCGAGCTCCCGGGCCACTGGGACCCCACAACCCAGCCCAGCCCCGCTTCCCCGAGGGGGCGCCTGGCTGCGCTTACCTCCTCCTTGAGGCTGCTGCTGCTGTGCTCACTCTCCTTGGCCAGGTTGCTCATGGTGGGTGCAGGAGGGCAAAATGCATGGGTCAGAGAGAGGCCCACTCCCTCTCCATGTGAGGAGACCTATCTTTGTAACCAAAGTATCCTCAGCAATAGGATGGGAGACCACCAGGAGAGGTCAGGAGGAGGGGGCAAGGGGATGGCGAAAGGGCAGCAAGGCTGCTGGTGGCCAAGTGCTAAGGCAGGACTTTCCTCAGAGCCTCCCTCCCTCTCATTATAATCTCCCTCCCTCCCTCCCTTCTTTTTCCCTTTTCTTCTTTTTCCTTCGCTCTTCATTCTTCTTCCTTCCCCTCTTTCCTTCTTTTTGTTTGTCTTTCCTCTTTCCCGTTCTCCTTTCCTGTCCCTTCTTGGATGCTCAAATGCAAAAGGGGAAACATTTCTTGATGCCTCCTTGCCTTGTGATCAAATGCCACTTTTGCTAGTAGTTTGTGGCCACTTAAAAGACCGAGAACAAACCAGGCTCAGTTTATCCCGTGCTTGCATTTAGTGGGGGCGTCCACAGACAACAGTACAGCAAAACTGTCAAAATGGTGGCTGTGATAGTTGGCCAGAGCTCCTCTCTTTTTTATGTGCAACAGCTTTAGTGTTTAGAAACAGAGGTAAGTTAGTTGCTTTTCTATTAATACATAATCCTTAAAAGGGCTCTTCTGTAGGGACCCTGCCATGGTCTAATTCCGACTGGAAATATAGCAAAGGAAAATATTTTTCCCCACTCTGCTTTGTCCTGTTTTCCCCACTGGAAATGGCTATTTGCAACATACAAGGAGGGGATGCTTTCCTAAGAGCTCACAATTCAAGAATACCAATGTTAACTTGGAATGCCAACAAAGTCCTGTCTGTGACAAAACAGAACACAAAATTGCTTTCTCCTTTGAGCCCAAGTCTCAATGGATCCAGGATTGAAGCAGAACTGCGTGAACTGGGGCATCTCCAACCAAGTTGCCTCTCCTTCTTTCCTCTTTCCCTCCCTCCCTCCTTCCCTTCCTCTCTCCTTCTCATTCCCATCTCCTTCCTTCCTTCCTTCCTTCCTTCCTTCCTTCCTTCCTTCCTTCCTTCCTTCCTTCCTTCCTTCCTTCCTTCCTTCCTTCCTTCCTTCCTTCCTTCCCTCCTTCTTTCCCTGCTTCATATTCCCATCTCCTTCCTTCTTTCCTCTCCTATTTTCCCTGCTTCTCATTTCCACCTCTTCCTTCCTTTTTCCCTCCCTCTGTCCCTCCCTCCTTCTCATTCCCATCTCCTTCCTTTTCCCTCCCTCCCTCCTTCTCATTCCCATCTCCTTCCTTCCTCCCTCCCTCCCTCCCCTCCTTCCTTCCTCCGTGCTCAGGAAGGGATGACAGGAGGGGGAGCTATCCCACACGGGCAGGGGCGGTCCTGGTGAAAGGGAAGCCTCGTGGGTATGAGGCTAGGTCAATGAGCGGGCCATGGAGGTGCTGGTGGCGGGTGTAGCGCTGATCTACAACCTGGTGGCGGCCATCAAAGCCAGAACGCGGTCAGTCTTAGATCCACAGGGCAGCCCTGGAGCCAGTGAGGGGCCGCCCCGCTGCCTCTGCCCCGCCCCCTGGGTGTACACACAGGAGGCGGCGAGTGGGCAAGCGCTGGCATCTTGGGGGAAACACTTCTCTTGCCTCTTTTCTTTCTGAGTGGTCAGCAGGGATGGTCAGCAGGGACGCCAGGCATTCACCGCCTCCTGTGTACATGCCCAGGAGGCAGGGGAGGGCGGGGCAGGAGCAGCCCCTCGCAGGCCCTTTCTTGCCAAAACCTTCCTTTATATCCTCTCCTCTCTACCCGCCTCCTCTTCTCTTCAGTGCACCTCCAGCTTCTGGAAGCGCCAATCAGCTGGAGCCCTGTTGTCGTGATTCTGTGCCAGCCTGTGTTCCCAACAGCTGAGTCTGGGGAATCTGAGAAGGAGGTGGAGGAGGCATTTGAAGGGCCATCAGGGTCAGAGGGAGGCTCTGATGAATTACAAGACTCACGGTTTGATGAAGAGCCTGGGCCCTCCAGTTGTGTTCCTGATGAAGCTCAGCTGTGTGGGGAGAATGAGTCAGAGTTGGAAGACTCACACCTGATGGACATGATGATTGATGCTCGTAGACGCCGGCAATTAGCGAGAGCAGATCAGCAGCAGTCAATACGACAACTCCAGGGGAGGAGAAGGCACTGAGAGGCAACGCCTTGGGACTGCTGTATAAAAAGGGAAGGTGTGGGCGGTGCTGGTTGCTGAAGGCAACCGTTGCAAAGTACTTCATGGGATCATGTTCTGTTAGTATTGCCGGTGACTACTTTTCTGTTTGCATCGTGTTTCGTGTGGACAATTTCCTCCATTTGGATTGTGTTTTGCTGCTTTTGTTTCTGGACTATTTGCCAGGTTGGTTACCCATATTAAAAGGGGTTTGTTTTGTTTTGAGTCTCCAGCCTATTTTCTCAACAGGGGTTTGGTCCTTGTGCCTTTAACAAGGACGGCTATAGGCTGGGATAGAACAGTTTGCCTTCAGCCTAACCCCCTACTATTATGGAGCAGCTACGTGCTGAGAATGCCCAGCTCTCCCAGCAGCTGGCTTTGTTATCTGCCCAAGTTGCTCAGCTATCTGCCCATATTCCTGCTGCTCCATCACCACCCAGGAGAAAATGCCAAGTTGCGAGGCCGGACAAATTTGATGGCAATCTGGACATGTTTCCTGTTTTCATGGGACAATGCCACCTGTATATCAGTGTGAGAGCGGCTGATTTCCCCACTGACTGGGATAAAGTGGGGTTTATGATAAGCCTGCTCTCTGGTTCTGCAGCTCGTTGGGGCACACCCCTGCTAGCCCAACCTAGTCCATTGATGGACAACTTTGTGGGGTTTTGTGATTACATGCGGATGATGTATGAGGACCCCATCAAGACCCAGACACCTACCAGACGTTTGAAAGCTCTGAGGCAGGGCCGACGCCCCCTGCAGGGCTATATCAGCGAATTTTGGCTGCTTAGCCAGGATTCAGCCTGGAATGAGGCTGTGCTCATGGACGCTTTCCAGGATGGATTGTCGGAGATGTTGGATGAGCTGGCCCGTGTTGATGTTTCCCCGGACCTTAATGGGCTCATTAATCTCTGTCTGCGGATCGACGCTCGGCTGCAGCAGTGAAGGAGTGACCGTGCCACCCCAGAAACCCGTACTGCCCCCGTTGTGCGTGAGACCCCGGTCCAGAGGGAGGAGCCAATGGAGTTAGGTGCTGCCAGACCTCGCCTATCGGTGGCAGAGATGAACAGGCGACGTTCGGGGGGGTTGTGTTTTTACTGTGGGGACCCTGGGCATTTGGCCGCTTTCTGCC